GTGCAGGGTCCAGAGGCAAGGTCCAGGGCTTCGAGGATGTCTCAAAAGCCGCCTGGGATGAACGGCTGGTCCCGCGGCAGTGAACGGAATGGCATGAGGTCTGGGAGCTGGCGAGGCGCATCATCGAGGTGTCGGAAGCCTGGTGTCCCTCCCTCCTCCCCGCCCCCCCCCCCCTGTATCGTTCCAATTTTAACGAATGACCCCGAAGGGATCCATCCACGTGTTTTCGTGATTTCCCGCCCCCTCACCAGCACTCAAACCCAACGGATGCCAACGGGGATCTAGCTCAAATGGTAGAGCGCTCGCTTAGCATGCGAGAGGCACAGGGATCGATGCCCTGGTTCTCCACTTTTTTACCCTCTTCGTGGCCCTCCTCCCCTCCCCCCCTCCAGACGGTCGTGCTCGCGCCCAGTGAGCTCTCCTTCCCTGCCCTTTGGCCTGCGCCGGAGCGTCCGCCGTCTGCCCCGTCCGTCGCGCCGAGCGGGGGCGTCCTGCCAAGTCGGGGAGAACCCACTACAGTGGACGCCCATACCAAGAAGCTCCCTCCTCCTCCTCCTCCTCCTCCTCCTCCTCCTTCTCCTCCTCCTCCTCCTTGCCTCCAGGGTGCCCTGGCTTTTTTGGGTTCTCGATGAGCTCCGCTCCCTCTTCGGCCTGCAGGGCCGCGCCCCATCCGCGATCCCAAAAGGTCCCATCCCGATCCGACTCCGCGCCGAGTCGGGCGCGGCCCGATCCGTTGCCGATCCGGGTGCCGTGTCACGATTCGATCCGGCTCAGGCCTGCGAGGCTCTCCTCAGTCCACCGTCCTTTGGAGGCCTGAGGACGGGCGCCAACACCAAAACAGGGGGTTGCCTCCATAAGAGGAAGAGGATCCTAGATTTTAGTGTTGGTCTTGATATCTGGACCATCTAGGTAGCACGAATCTACCACCACCATCACCGAGACCAGGATCATCTGCCCTCGGTGGAGGCACACCGCCGATTCTGGGGCGGGCGTCAGCCTGCAGGCCTCCTGCCTTCCTTTTCCGCCCCCGTCTCACGCAGCGTAAGTGCTTCTAGCCGTCTGCCGCCGAGCCCGAGGCCCCTGAGGAGCTCCTTCGGGCGGCGGCCTGCGCAACGCCGCGCGCGAGCGCCCCCCGAGGGGCGGAGGGCGCGCGCGAGCACGAGCGGGGCGGCATCCTGGGCGTGGGGCCCCGCGTCGGGCAGGCAGTGGTGCGCAGGCCTCTGGAACGCCTCGGACACACGCGAGGATCCCAGACTTCGAGTCGGGCGTGTCCCTCGACAGGGGGGGACGATGCTCCAGTCTAGTGTCCCTCGGCAGGGGGGAACGATGCTTCAATCTATTTTTTGTTCTATGTTTGAATATTTTGGGTTTTTTCTCTTGCCCTCAAAATCCGCCTGTAGGAGGACATGCCCGACCTGATCCCAGACCCTCGACGTCGTGATGTTTTCACTGCGTCGAGTCCCACAGGTCTGGACCCCGTCCGACCGGGGCCGGCGTCTCGTCCCGAGCCGTTTCTGTCCACGGTCCCGAGACCCTGCAAGGGCATATGCCGAACATAGCGAAACACTTACCGTCGTGATGTGTGTTCACAACCCCGATGCATCGGTGATTCGACGCGCTCCCCCGACCCCATCTACTCTTATCCCATCCAGGCGGCCTCTGTACACGTACATAATCCACGTTGGTCTAGAGAGCGCGCGTTGCGCGAGCCTTCGTATCACGTGGCTGATCTCGCGGACGGGGGAGCCGTTTTCATGTACGTGGGTGGGCGATTGCGTCCTCGGTGGGTTCTCTAACCCATGTCTCCAGAAAGTGGACCCGCCAGATGTCTCGGTATGTTCTTTCGCCCTTGCCAATTTTACCCTCTGGATGGCCAGGCGGCCAAAGCATGTCATGGTGGATGCACGTGCGATTCCTGCGGCGATCTTTCGGTCCACCTCGACGCCTCTGCCATGTCGACACCGGGCCTACCCCTGGGTGGTGGTGTTCTGTGGATTCGCGAGGGGGTGATTCCAGGGCGGCCCAGAGGGGGGTAATGACCAGGGGAGGAGAGCATTGCCAGGACCATGACATCTCTCCCGATTCCTTGGCCCCCTATTCTTCCAATCTGCTTCTGGTCCTTCCCCTTGTCTGCGTGTGTGCCTCGGGCCACGATTTGCAACCCCACCCCCCCTTGACGCCCTCTCCTTGGAGGAACCTCGAGAGTTTGTCTACGGCGCACAAGACCCAGGCATGTTCCTCGGGGGCGTATATCTAGAATCTAGACCTCCTGGAGGGGGTCCGAGTAGATGGGGTCGGAGGATAATGCCGCATCGCCGAGATGCACGGGCCATGCGGCGTGATGCGGAGCCCGATCGCGCCAGCGTCGCCGATTCACCGCCGACGTCGCGGGTGCATCGCCGATGCATGGGCGATGCGGTGCGATCCTCCGACCCCATCTGCTCGGATCCTATCTGGGAGGCCTCTGGTAGATCTCATGGGTGATGTGTGTTCCCCTTCTCAGCGGCGCGCCCTGGGGACGTGCCCGCCTCCCCTCTCGTGCTCGACCTGCCCTCCTCTCGTCGGCGATCGCTGCGCGTTCCTTCCCTGCCGGCGAGAGGCTATGCTGAGTGGTCGGTGTGTGCGCTGGGAGTCTCGAAAAGGAGGCGCAATGCGATGGCATGAGGAACCGAGGTAATGTTAGACGAGGCGGCCGCGTGAACAGGTACACCCGGAAAGAGGGGGATGCGTTCACCCTGCGGCATCATTGTGGGGCAATCCGGCTCTGCTGACATCGTGCTCTGGGTTTCTTTCTTGGACTGTCTGTTTGCGTCCTCGCGTCCTATCTGTTTGTATCCTTTCAGGTGATTACCATTGTGTGAACGGCCAGATGCGTTGTATTTCTCTGTGCCTCGCTGGTCTGTCTACGCAGCCCTCAACATTAGTTCTTCTCGGCGCATACCCGCTGCAACCAATTTGGCTCAAAGGAAAATTTTTCCGTATGATATCATACATACATTCGGGCCATCATGCCATTCCGCTGGGCCCCACTATGGATACTTTGGCCGGTCGTTGACTATTGATTACCAGTTGTGATTGTCTCGTGAGATATTACGTTGGTTCGACCAAGAAGGCGACGCCTGTGGTGCCATCATGGCTCAGAGACTCAGTCCACGTGCGTGACATGCCAAACCCGTCGAGCAAAACCCTTCAGGCTGTTGTCAAAGTTCACACAGCTTCCGTAGTGTTCTTCGTCGTTGGTCTGGGTAGTTTCCGTCAACATAAGTTTGACATCCGCCAGGTGTTGTTGATCACGATGTTTTGGGTTAGCGTTGGTAGTCTTAGTCGAACTCGCAGTAATGACGATCATCGTAGTACTCGCTTATGTGGCCGTATGGTCAGCAGTCGTGTTCTCTGGAGTGGTGGCATCTGTTGTAGCCGTGCGCGTGGTGTCTGTCATATGTGCCTGGAGTCGTGGTAGTACCAATCCAATCGCAGTATCAGTAGCAGTAGCAGAGCAACTCTCAGGAGGAACAAAACACACAGACACAATTAATCGCCGACCCCCCAGAAAATATGGGAAGGAACGTATGGGAATTGGGGGGAAGACAGAATCCCAGAACATATGGGAACATATGGGGGATCCTTTTATTTGTGTGTATTTATTTGTGTGTCCCAGGGCCCCTTCAAACTTGTAGTACAGTCGGGGCGCTGAAGAGGGAACCCTTTTCGTTGGGGAGGGGCTCGGTGTTCCTTGATTGTTTTACAGTTTGCCCTGGGTTTTCCTGAGGCTTTCCACGGGAAATCAAAGTTTAACTTATCGGGAAAAGGGGCCCCGTTCCTTATTTGGGGTTCCTTCGGTCAACGCCCCGACTGTAATAGCTCCACGCAAGCTCTGGCGCGGGTCCGCAGGATCTGGGACGCGCAGCCAGCAGTGGGGGCGACCACTGGGCGACAGCGGTGTGTGTGGACAGCAGCGGAGCGCAAGCATCGTGCACGGGGGGCCTTCCAAGTAAGAAGGATGTCAGCACTCATGGAGACACGTTCGCGTCAAGCATTACCAACAGCGTGGAACATATCCCTATCCCTATGCTGGGCATCTCCTCATCACGATGCCAATCTTAGGGATTCTCTTATTGTTTGAGGGCGCATCCCTAAGATTGTCATCGCCCATTTGGCGTGTCAATCTTAGGGCTAGGGATAAGTTCGAGGCTGGTAAAAGCACTGTTAGGAGAGCAGGTTTCAAGATGGGAGTGCCGAGCGGCCTGATCTCTACACCGCGAAGCGTGCCGTCGGGGCTACTGGCCGACGGAAAGACGCGAAGTGACAAGCCCAGCGTACAGCGGATCAGTTCTGTGAGAGAGGCGCAGGAATTGGGGAGGCGAGGGCGCGAAGGTATTCGCGCTTCGCGCTTCGCGGTTCGGCTCCCATTCCTCCTCGTCCTCCTTTTCTCCCCTGGGAGGCGGCGCGAGCGCGAAGTGATTCGCACTTCGCGCTTCGCGCTGCGCGCAGCGCGAGGCGCGAAGTTGGGAGCCCTTGGTTCTGTGGGAGAGCCGCAGGAATTGGGGAGGTGGTTCTTCGGGGGTGGACAGAACCCCCAACAGTGACACGTCGATTAGTGACTTGTCCGTTTTCGGCTCTCGAGAGGGCGCCGTGGCCGTTATCTTCCAGGCTTGCGCCCGCCAGGTTTGGGCCCGCGGTTGTTTTCGCGAAGCCACGTTTTACTAAAGGGGGGTCTGTCCATCCCCGAGTTCTACAGTCGGGGTCCTGAAGAAGGAACCCTTTTCGTTGGGGAGGGGCTCCGCGTTCCTTAATCGTTTCGCAGCTTGCCTCAGGTTTTCCTTATGTTTTCGATCGGAAATCGAAAGTTAACTTATGGAAAAAAGGGGCCTCGTTCCTTATTTTTATTTAGGGTTCCTTAGGGCAACGCCCCGACTGTACCTCGGCCGTCGACTGTGGCGCGGGGCCATTGGCGCGGCACTCGCTCGCTCCTGGGCCTGGCCAGGGCAGGCCGCCCGCGGATTAATTCCATATCGCCTCTTGCACGTCGCTAGTCGATGAGGGCGCCCCCCGCGCCGGCCGCTCTCGCGCGCGAGGCGGGGAGGAGGAGGCGCAGCGGGCCCCCGGCAGTCTGAGGAGGAGCTCCTCCTCCTCCTCCTCCTCCTCCTCCTCCTCCTCCTCCGCCTCCTCCTCCTCCTCCTCCTCCTCCTCCTCCTCCTCCTCCTCCTCGCTAGGGGGTGGACATGAGGAGGAGCTCCTCGCCGGGGACGTTCCTGTCGACCCTGTTGGCTACTCTGGAGCATCTGTTGCGGCATGCTGCCTTCTGCGCCCCCAGCCCGCCCGCAGGAGGAGGGGGCCACGTGCGAGCCCTAGCCCTACCCCCCACGAGTTCCGAGGGGGAGGGTGGGCTTCACTTCGTTCGGGAGCTCCGGAGCGAAGTGAACCCCACCCTCCCCTCAAAAATCGTGGGGGGTAGGGGTAGGGTTCACATGTGGCCCCCTGAGGAGGACATGCCCGACCCAACCCGAGCGAGCGGCGCCGCCCCTCGCCGCCCGAGGGTCGCCCGGCGTGCTGCCATCGCCCGGCAGGGAGACAGAGAGCACACCATCTGCGACGCCTCTCCGATTCCAGGTTGGTTAGGGGAACAAAAGGTGGCATAAACATAAAAGCTCGGAGGTCCGCGCGGATTTCTCGGATCGGCGCTGGACCCCCTTGCCTGGCGCGCGGAGCGCGCCAGGGGCGGCGCCGGAGGCGCCTCCAGGGGGGTCCCAGCCCCCCTTTTTGTTCACCTAGTTCCCCCTCTGGGCAAGCCCCCCCGCCAGGGGCGGCGCCGGATGCCACTTTTTGTTCACCTAGTTCCCCCTTTGGGCAAGTCCCCCACTGTCGCCGCGCTCGGCGCGATTGCTCCCCGTCGTCGGGGTTCTTAGGTTCGCAGCTCGGCTCTCGGGCGGCCGTTGTGGGACCATCTGGGCACCTCCCGAGTGCCCCATGGGCGAGGACCTCAGCTTTTTTATGTTTGTGCCACGTTTTGCTCCCCTTATCGGTGGGAGCCCGTCCCCCCTTGCGGGTCCAGGCCTCCCCGGGCCCAGAGAGCTTAGCGGGCGGTTGCAGCGGGAGGGGGGCAGAGAAACACAGGCACGATGCGTCGTCGACCCCAGGGAGATGCAGGAGAGTACAGTCAAAAACCGAAAAAAGGACGCGCGACTTTGCTCAGGGTACCCTTGCGTCCTTACTCTTCCTTGCTCTTGCGTCCTTGAGGTTTTCGTCGGCCACCGCCCCAAACATCCCAACTTCGGCTTCCAAGGGTCTTGCGTCCTTACCGCGTATCCTTTTCAGGATTTTTGATTGTATGGGAAGTGTTATGATGCTCCAACCTACTTTAGCTTTGATCACCAGGAAGAATTCCGAGCGCCCAAACAAGTACCGAAACTCCAGGGTTTTTACGTGTCGGGTCCTGGCAGACACTCGTCCGACACTGTTTCGACACTGTTTCGACACTCTTTTGACACGTTTCCGGGTGCTCGAAATTATTTCTGGGACGTGGTGCTTAAGTAGGATGGGAACAACATCAGGGAAGTGGGGGTAACGACGAACCCCAGAAAAGGGTTGGAGGCATGGGGGACCCTGGGACTTGTGTTTGTTTGTCTGCGTGTCCCAGGGCCCCTTCAGCGTAGGGCTCCCAGGATTTCAGGCTTTCCGGGCCCAGGGGGGTGTGTGGCAGGGGTCCCCCCTGGGGTGCTCACCGCTCGTAGTCTCTCAGGGAAGGGCGCATCGTGGGGCCCTCGGAGGGGTCGTCGGACGAGAGCGGCCGGCATGCAGAATACGCTGGCACGCCTCAGGATGTCCTGTGGCCTCCGCTTCTGTTGGGGGCGGCCAAGATGGGGGTGATGACCAGGGTGGTGGTGGTTACCATGGCGAGGGCCATGATGTTTCCTCGGATTTCTTGGCGCGCCTGCCTTCCTACCTCATTTCGTCCCTGGCCTCCCCTTGGGCCGCGCACGTGCCGCCGGCCATGATTCGCGCCCCCGCCCCCCTGGACGCCCCCCTCTCGGCCGCCCCCGATTCGGGGCCCCCTGCTGGGCCTCAGGGAGGCTCCCTGGGGCTCACTGGGCGGCGGATGCGAGGTCACGTAGCCATGCTTCCTGCCAGGTCTCCCAGGTGTTGCAATGGCAGGACAGGCGATGCATGCCAGCCACAGTTGCTGCTGCTGGCGGCGCAGTCCCGACATGTGTCACGTTCATGCTACACGTGCTCGTGCTACCAGGTTCAGGGGTACCAGGACGACTCTCACATTGCTTCCAATAGCACGACTCCAACGGCTACTACGGCTGGTACACATACCTTTGCTAGAACCTAGTGCTGCTGCGACTTCATCTAGGAACGATACCACTTCTACCTCTACAGTTACTCCCACAAATGGTGCCATCACCAATGTCACCGTCTCAAGCGGTGCCAGCACCAACATCACCGTTTCGAACCTCACGATGGCTGACCCTTCTGAGGCTACGAGACGCCCTTGCTATTGGTATGACGGCTGGCGCGATGAGTCTCCGTCTTTGCACGCTTGCACGTGGAGTGGGAGGAGGAGGAGGAGCAGGAAGCGAATGATCTTGCGCGGATTGTTGTTCACACAGTGGTTGTGTGTGTATGTGTATCATCGCTTTGCGTCTCCACCCTGCCTTCTCGAGTATGGCTGGAGTCCTGTCCCACCACCAGGTACCGCTCACTGCGGGCGCCCTCCTGGTTGCCTGCGTTACCGCCAGAGAATCGATCAGCTTCGTGGGAGAGGCGCCCATCCCGTGCGCCCCGCTGTCTGGTGTGTTTGTTTCCTCTTGTGAGCTTGTTCCCTGCATGCTTTCCGCTGTCTCCGTCGCCTTGGGGTCGCTCCAGCGCCGCGGCGCAACCGATCTTCGACCGTCGGCCATGCACCATCCTGGACCGGCGCGGCATCAGCGGGCGTGTGCAGCCCTTCGAGGTAAGGTGATCGGGAGTATCTGCACGTGGCTTCCAGAGGCCCTGGACAGGTGGTGCCTCCACAGCGACTCTGAGCGAGCCTGCAGTGCGTGTGTGTGTGTGTGTGTGTGTGTGTGTATGTGTATGTGTATGTGTATCTCTGTCTGTGTCTGAGTCAGTGCCGGTGCCTGCGCCTGTGCCTGTGTCCGTGTGTCTTGTTCTTGGATCCGTGTGTTGGATGAAGAAGGGCATGGAAAACAATAATCGGGTAATCGTAAGGGCTGGCAGTAGGGTCGCACTGACGTGACATGCATTCAACTCTCACCCAGGCAGATCTCAGAGAGATGGACCCGCACATGGGTGCCTTGGCGGAAGAATTGGGGTATTGCCATGGTTGCTTAGTTTTCTGTCATGCCATCTGTTGTGCAGTCTTGCACGTGCGCGTGCAATCGCAACACCGTTTCGCAAGTCGGCGGCGTGGTCATGATAGAAGGCAGATGGGGCGGGCCTTCTCAGAAGGCTCAGAAGGTCCTTCGGCCATCCGAGAAGCTTTCCGCCGCCCTCTGAAAGTTTGCCGCCACTAATGTCCCTCCTCGGTCTGCCGCCGACCAGGGCATGGGAACACGGCGCAATGCAGTGCACGCGCAGGGGCATCCGATCTGCCTCGGCCCCCACCCTGTTCCCATCCCATCCGCCGTCCCGACCTGTCTCCCCTCCCTCACTCGGGATCCCGCAAAGGGGATGTGTGCCCCGGTGTGTGTGTGTGTGTGTGAGTCCGATCGGTTTTTGGAGCGCCCCGCGCAGATGCCCCCCAGCCGCCGGCAGCTCCCGATAGTTGTTGATAGGTGGGGCGTGCGGTGGGCATCTGTTTGCGGCAGTTCGCTGCACCAGCGGGTCGAACCCATGCCGCCCCCAACCGACGCGCCTTATTGCCAAGTGGATTTGCAAGACAGGGGTTGCGGGGTGCTCTCTTTTGATGGCGGAGGCCACGACGCACTCCCTCCTCCTCCTCTTCCTCCTCCTCCTCCTCCTCCTCTTCGTCCTCCTCCTGTGTCCGTCCCTCCTCCTCCTCCTCCTCCTCCTCCTCTTCCCCATCTACTCACGGAACTGTCTGTTGATCTCGGCGGCCGGTTCTTTCCGTCCACCAGGGCGCCTGGGTCAGAGGCAATTGCTCACAGGCACACCTAAGCTGAATGTGGGTTGCTGTCGCTTTTGTGGACGTGGAGGTCTGGGCCAGACTGCCCGCACCTGCGTGGTCGTTCCTTGAGGATGTTTCTCTATGAAGGGTCCCGCGAGGACCCAGGGCATCGGGTCGGCCTGACCCCCCCCCTCCCAAACGACCTCACCCTGTCGGCTGCGCAGGTCCGAGGGCGGCGCGCAGTATTGCTGCGCGCGGGCACAGGTGGGGCTGCCCAGAGCGAAACGGCAGGTTATCGGCCGCCCCCCCCCCTCGCCTGATCACCCCGGTGATTTCTGAAGCATTAAAAACAGGTGTATATATATATCTCGATGGTTCAGGAGGGAGGGCGGCGCTTCCAGGCCCAGGCCCATCGGAGCAATGCCGTGCGGCGGCCAGCCAGACCGACGGGCGTCCGCGCCAGCTCTCCCTATTAGAGACCCGCATGCTCCTCCCCCCCCTCCTCTGCCTCCTCCTCCTCCTCCTCTGCCTCCTCCTCCTCCTCCTCCTCCTTCTCCGCCTCGCTTAGCGATTGCCTCATGTTTTTCTCCACAACGAATTACTTATCCCGACCCTTGTCTGGGGAAAGAATCTCGCAAGTTGCGCATCGTTTTTTTGGAGGCGCGCGCGCGGTGTTGGCCCAATCGCTGGCGCATCTCGGTGTGGGAGGGGATAACTCGCCAAACTAATTGTTGGTTCCTTCGGGTTTGGGCTCGTTATTCTGCTGGGGCGCGCAGAGCAGAAACGGTCCCGCCCGGGCGCGATTGCGGAAATGGAGGGCGAGTTCGGGGATATGTACACGTAGAAAAGTTGTTGCTTGGCCTCGCCAGAACTTTTTGGGAGCCTGCCAGGGCGCGACGTGTCTCGACGCATTGGGGTTGACAGGCCCGT